CACCCTCTTCGCTGCAGCCATGTGCTCCGGTCTGTGTCTCCCAGGAGCAACATAGCGTGCGAGAATGCTAAGAGGGTATGCGAGGTCAGGTCGTGTGCAGGTCATCAGGTACATGAGGCAGCCAACAAGCTCTGGGTACGGGCCACTCGACTCTACGGACTCATCCGAAGGCAGAGCTGAGAGCGAGTGGCGAGTAGGCAGAGGAGTGGCCTGAGGCGAGGAGTACGTGAAGCCGAAGCGCTGAAGGACCTGCTGCACCATGTGTGACTGAGTCAGGGTAATGGTGCGGCGTGCTCTGTCCCGGGTTAAATGCAAGCCAAGGTAGCTGCGCAGTTCACCCAGGTCTGTGCACGTGTGTCTCTTCTGCAGCTCGGACTTCACGTGGGCGAGTCCAGCAGTGTCAGCTGTGGCAAAGACCAAGTCGTCGACGTACACGAGGATGTAGAACGGCGGCAAAGAAGTGTCGGTGCGCAGAAACAGCGACGGGTCGGCAGTAGAGGGAGCAAACCCAAGAGCCGCAAGTGTAGTCCTCAGTGTGTCGTGCCACTCACGCGGTGCCTGGTGGAGACCGTAGACTGGCCGCCGGAGGCTCCACTGGGTGCCAGGAGGAAAAGACCCAGTGAAGCCAGGTGGGCGACGCAGCCAGATCTCCTCGTGCAGGCTGCCCTGCAAGAAAGCAGTGCTGAAGTCAAGAGAGTGCAGCTCGTAGTCGCGGTGAGCAGCTATGTGCAGCAGTACCCGAAGAGTGGTCATCTTCGGGGTGGGAGAGAAGGTCTGAAAGTAGTCAACTCCCTGCCGCTGACTGAAGCCACGAGCCACGTAACGCGCCTTGAAGACAGGCGGAGAACCCGGCGGCCGCTTCACCCTGAAAATCCACATGCCACTGACGATGTTCGCCCCAGGCGGGGGAACCTCGTCAACGTAGGTACCTGTGGACTTCCAGGAAGCCATCTCTGTGTCCATAGCTGCCTGCCACTGAGAGGAGTAGGGACCCTCTATCGCCTCCGCGTAAGAGCGCGGAGTCGGGATGTCAAGTGCATCCGGGTCTCCCTCAGAGGTAAGCAGTACGGACACGAGATGAGGTGAAGCAGCAGCCAAACACTGGAACTCCTCCTGCCTATCCTCAAGGACGTCCATGCCAAGGGCACACTCACCCCCGACGGACGGAGGACAGACAGACTCAGACTCAGCGACAAGACAAGCAGCGTAGTCTAGACGACAGCGAGCAGCAAAGTCGACGAGCTCAGCAACTAGGGCAGACGCAGCAGTGGACGCAAAGGAAGGGTCAGTGACGACAGTAGCAAGGAGACGCGTGACAGTAGGACTGGCAGCACGAAGAGAGTCCGACTCTGGGTCGGGAAGAGCAGGAAGAGAGGACTCAGGAGGAGAAGGCAAAGGGGCACGCAGAGGAGCAGTGGACGGACGCAGAGACATCCGGTGCGTGCCAGGGACAGGAGGAGGACGCTGACGCGAACCACGACCACTAGCGCGAGCAGTACGGACAGGCGACGCAGGACGCGACGCAGGCTCACGACGCTCAGCAAGACCTCCAGTAGGACCAGTGTAGGGAGAAGGAGCGGGCAGTGGGGAGGCCGGCTGTAACTGTAACTGTGACAGGACAGGCTGTGGACTCTCTAAGGGAGGAGGAGGGCCAGTAGAAGGCGGGAGACCAAGAACCTGCTGAAGGAGCGGAACGAAGTACGGCCGAGGCCGCGCGGCGACTCCAGACACAGCAGGGACAGCACCAGTACCCCAAGCGGCAGCACCAGCGCCAGCAGCAACTCCAGCTCCAGTACCTCCAGCAGCACCAGTAGCACCCCCAGCAGGCCCGCCTCCAGGACCGACAGCAGTAGCCTCAGCGTCAACACCCTCAGCAGCTCCAGCTCCAGTCGTACCCGCAGGCCCAGCAGCTCCAGTACTCCCAGTACGAGCACCTCCGGGTCTGGGGCGCGCTCCTCCTTGTTCGCGATGCCAAAGCGAGCAAGCTCTCCTCTCGCACTCTCCGCTGCGTCTTCCTTGGCTTCCCCACCGACGCCCCGCCGTGGCAGCTCTACCACCCACGCGAGCGTCGAGTCTTCTCCTCCCAGGACGTCACCTTTGACGAGTCTTTCTGTTTCTACAGGCTACACCCGCACGCTTCCCACCTGATCCCCCTCGCGCCTCTCTTCCTATTACCAGTAGCCCCTCCCGTAGACCCCCTCCCCCCACAGGGTCCTGCTCCCTCAGGTGTGTCTCAGGTAGACCCACCCCCCTTGGTTGAGCCTCTGGAGATCTCTTCTGAGTCCTCTGGCCCATCTGAGGGGGGTGACCCTGCCGCTGACGACACGACGGCCACTCGCCGCTCTCCACGCTTGGAGACCCCCCCTGGCTTTCCGCCTTGGCCGTCTTCGCCGCCTCCGCAGCCTGCTGCTATGGACTCCGGAGCTGAGACTGTTGGTGCTGAGCCTGGGGGTGCTGAGACAGAGGGTGAGGGTTCTAGGGGTGCTGCGACTGGGGGTGCTACGACTGGGGGTGCTGGTTCTGGGGGTGCTGCGACTGGGGGTGCTGACTCTTGGGGTGTTGCGAGTCCTAGTGGTGGTGGAGCTGTGGATGACCCTGCTGAAGGTCCTGGAGCTGGACAGCCACCGCAGCCTGATCTACTTGAGACGCTCTCGCTGCAAGCGATTCGTGCGTGGAACGTTCGGCGAGGCAGTCCTGGTGGTGGAGGGTACGGTCCTGCTGGTGCTGGAGCTGCTAGTCCTGGAGGTGCTTGAGGTACTGCTGGAGGTACTAGAGGTGCTGCTGGTGCTGGAGGTACTAGAGCTGCTAGTCCTGGAGGTACTGGAGGTGCTGCTGGTGCTGGAGGTGCTGGAGCTACTAGTCCTGGAGGTGCTACTGGTGCTGGAGGTGCTGGACCTAGTAGTCCTTGAGGTACAGCTAGTGCTGGAGCTGCCAGAGTTGGTGGTGCTGCTGGTGCTGGAGGAGCAGGGGGTACTGGAGCTGCTGGCACTGGAGGTGCTGGTGCTACTGGTGCTGGAGCTGCGGGAGCTGCTGGTCCTGGAGGTGCTCGTACTGGAGGTACTGGAGCTGCCGGAGCTGCTGGTGCTGCTCATGCTGGAGGTGGTACTGGAGCTGCTGGCACTGGAGGTGCTGGTGCTGCTGGTGCTGGAGGTGCTGGACCTGGAGGTACTGGAGGTGCTGGAGCTGCTGGTCCTTGAGGTGCTCGTATTAGAGGTGCTGGAGCTGCCGGACCAGGTGGTGCTGCTGGTGCTGGAGGTGCTGGAGGTGCGACCAGGTGGTGCTGCTGGTGCTGGAGGTGCTGGAGCTGCCGGACCAGGTGGTGCTGCTGGTGCTGGAGGTGCTGGAGATACTGGAGCACAGAACGAAGCACATTGCTCTTCGCTACTTTCTTGCTTAAGAGCTGCAGCAGCGTGGTCAGGTTCGTCTTTCTTACGTGGCCTCTCGGGCCAACACTGCTGATGTCTTCACCAAGGCCCTCGGGTCTGGTGATCTTCGCCGTTTTTGCACTGCTCTTGGGCTTCTGCCTGTTCTACCTCACCTGCTTGTCGCTTGATCTTGCACTTGTTGTATACTGATTTCTATATTTATACCTGCATGTTTCCTCTTGCTAGGTTGTGATCAGTATACTGCCTTGCTATTATAACTCTGCATGTGAACTGGCCTTGTGGCCGCTTGCTTGTCCTCGGATTATGTGGTGTCCTTGAGATCCACCCTGAGCTTTGCTTTGATTTGCTCTGTTGTCTTGCTTGACTGGTCTTGTGACCGTCTTGTTGTCCCCCACTTGGCCTATGGGGGTGTGTCAAAGTACAACCTTACTTGTAGGCTATAGTGGGGCACTCTTTATGGGGTACAACACTTCTAGGGTTAGTACTTGTACCCCAACTCTTGCTAATCCAATCATTCCTGCACAGTTATTCTGAAATTAACATGAAATTTACAGCGCTGAATTGCCTCTTTCAGAATGGCCTCGCTAAATTGTGTCATCAATAAAGAATAGAATTATCCTTACAGTATGTAGGCAATGCTAACACAAAAGCGTGATTGTTGAAACCAAATCTGAAATACCAGTCCGTAAATCGGGATTTGCAAAGAAGAGTCAGCCCACACACGGAGAGAATTGGCCGATTTTTTTTGGCCTGAGGGATTTTCAAGCTGCCGCCCACCAGCTCCCAACTTATCGAATCGCATGGGATCTCTGGCCTGTGGCGCGGTGAGGGCATGCCCCCCTACCTCACGCCCTCACCTGACACTGTGCGGAAAAGTTGCAATTTGCAGCCCCACAGCAAATCCCAATGCTGCCCCCTTTTTGCCTTACGACCAGGCTGAGGCAACGGGCCGCTACACCAGAGCCTCAGAAATTGGTCAAGCACACGCAGAACCGGATCTCTTCGTTCTGAATAGCATTAGAACGTTTGAAAACTAAGCCAACCGAGCTGAGACATCTGAACGAGATATGTCAGAATGGCAGTCGAACTTCGTTGTTACGCCAGCTTTTTTGGATTCCTTGAGCTTGTCCCAACCAATCCCCCAGATTCTGGCTCCTGGAGCTTGTCGTAATTCCTCCAACTTTCGGCTGACGAGCTTCGTGAACGTTCGCGAGTTGTTCGTGAGTCGTCGTGGCTCCTCTTTCTGTTGATTGTGTTTGCTCTAGTGGGCAAATCCAACTTCTATGGCAGTGGTGGCAGTTGATTGTTGCCGCTCTGTCAAGAAACGAGGCAATGGAGTGAGACCTAGTGAGGGCAATAGCGATGTTCCGAGAGAGCTGAAGCATTTCTTTCCCTACCATTCGCAGTTCCAGCACGCAGCAGCTTTCCACTGCATCTTCCGCCCGAAGCCCCAGGCATCGTGCTCTCGCCGCACACAACACAATATTGTTTACCAGTAAAATTGTGTTCCTGTTTGGGTCTCTGTTTGTTGCCTTTGATTATGAATCCATCGGCGGGTTTCCAAGAAAAGACGCACCTTTGATACAGAACTCTCAGAAATCACGCTGCGGAAGAATGGCGTCGGTAGTTATTCACCAGCCGCTTCTCCAAAAGGAGCTCGTGCTTCTCATGGAAGAGGATCGCGATTTCGATGACGAGCTTCGCAGAGGGCTCGACGACTTTCGCAGTGACGACTCTCCACCTCCTCGCTCAAACCCGCGCTGCGCCACGTTCCCCCTTCGCTCGCCCGCAAAACCCGCCGCTTTTTCCTCCGCCACCTCCCTCATCTCTCCTGTTGCTGACGCACCAATCGCCATCCATCCGTCACCATCATCCGCAGAGCATAGCGATCAACGGTCGCACTTCACAGCTGCCGCCGTCGCGGCACGTCGCCCCCACGCGCCTCCCCTGCCGCCTCCGCTTAGAAACAGGAGCTGGCGGCTCGGTCGCCCGCTTTTCCCAGGTAGCAAGGTCCATCTAGCGATTGATAACTCCACGGTTCGATTAATGGTTGGGAAGTGTGTACGCTTAAAGCCGCAGGGTGAACCACACGATGAACCACCTACTACTGAGCCAACTAGTAGCGGGGGCAGGGTAAGCTCGACTGACGCGGCGGTCGCTGCCAGCTTGGGTAGTTCTAGCAGCGTTGTGCTTGCGGGGAATCATGCTGCGGAAACGGCGGCGCGCGGCGGATTGCGCGTGCTAGCGAACGAGTTCCGCGCGCTTGAACGGCTCCGCGGATGCCCCCATGCGGTGCAGTTGCTGGGCTGGGATTGGTCGGCGGAACCAATCGGCGGAGCGGAAGCCACTGGCGGGGCCGCGGCGGAGCAACGCGTTCCGTCCGAGCAGGATTCACGGAAGCAGCAGCAGCAGGATTTAAAAATTGCGGATAAGACGCAGCAGCAGGTAATTTTCGTCACGTTACTTATGGAGCACGTCTCCGGAGGCAGCTTAGGCTCCCTGCTCTCCGCGTTTCCCGGCGGGCTTGACGAGGCTCTGATTCGTCGCTTCGCTCGCTCCCTACTGGAGAGTCTCGCCGCGATTCACGCTCGAGGGGTCGCGCATGGCGACCTGCGCGCCTCGCATGTGCTCGTAGACGCGCTGAGCGCACACGGCGGGGGGTATTCTGGAGCCTATCCTGTAAATTATCCTCTGGGCTATAGTTACCCCGCTAATTGTTCCGTAAGCTATCCGCTGCTGAAGCTGTGCGGGTTCGGATCAGCTGTTGTGGAGGGAGGAGATCAGCAGCAGCAGCAGCAGCAGCAGCAGCAGCAGCAGCAGCAGCAGCAGCAGCAGGGGCAGCGGCAGGAGCAAGGGGGGGGTGTTGCTATGCAGATGCTGGCGTGGTTGCAGGCTGCAGGGGTGGAAGCGCCGACGTCCGCTGCTGCTGGCTCTGCTGCTGCCACTGCAGAAGCGGATGCAGCAGTAGCGGCGGCAGCGCAGGTAGCAGCAGCGAAGGCAGCAGATATATGGTCCCTTGGATACACGGTGATAGAGCTGGCTACAGGCCAATCCCCAACCACCCCTGCGGTGGGCCCCCACCCTCCGTCCCCTCTCCTCCCTCTCGCCCGCACAACACTCAAGCGCCCCAAGCCTCCCCCGGGCTTATCCCACGACGGAAAAGACTTCCTTAAGAGGTGCTTCGTTAGAGACCCCACCGCGCGGCCTACAGCGCAGCAGCTGCTGTCGCATCCGTTCATATTGTACCAGCTCGCACCATCTTCCCCTCCACTTCCCCTTTTTCCTCCTCCATTTCCTACCACTCCTGCTCCATTGTACGGGTTTCCTTGCTTCTCCTCCTCTCCCTGGATACCTGCTGCAGGAGCCAATGCGTTTGCTGGCAACAGCGCTGCTGCTGCGCTTGCTGCTGCTGCAGGTGCTCCTGTTGGTGCTGCAGAGCGTGCTGTTGCTCCACCTGCTACGGCTTCCCACCCCCATCTCTCCCAGCTCTCACCTGCCGACGATCCTCGAAGCACGTGTGCTTCTCACCAGCTGCTGCTGCAGCGGAGAAGGCAGGAACGGTCCGAGGAGCAGCAGCAGAGGCACGAGGTAGCTGGAGCGAGCGGGAGAGTGGGCGGGAAAGGTGGGGCTGCTGCTGAGGGGTTGCGTGGTTGTCAGAGTGAGAACGGCCTGGTCGGTAGCTTCGGAAGCGGTGGTGACTGTGGTAGTAGAAGCAGCAGCAGCAGTAGCAGTAGCAGTAGTGGCAGCAGCAGCAGCAGCAGCGGTAGCGGCAGCGGCAGAAGTAGCGGTGGTAGCGGCAGTGGCAGCTGGAGCAACATCCTTGCTGATTCGGCTAGATTTGCTCTCGGTTCTCTTCCTAATTCTCTATACGGAACTGGGAATTTCACTGGCATGGAAATGTCCCAGCAGCAGCAGCAGCAGCAGCAGTATCATCACAATTATATGCTTAACTTGCCCTACACTCAACACCATTTTAACAGCCGCTCTCCTCCCCATCCTCTGCAAGCTTTCCAAATACCAGCATCATCAGCAGCGGCGACAGCAGCTTCTGCCGCTGCAAGCTTCCAGCTCTCAAGACAGCAACACCAAGAGCAGCAGCACCTGCAACTGCTGCATCAGCAGCAACAGAAACTGCAGGAACAGGTGCAGGTTTCGGAACAGGAGCAGGAGCAGCAGGAGTGGCACGGGCAGCAGGGTCGAAGTGACATGCCATTTATCCTGCAGCAGCAGCTGAATGTAGCAGCAGCAGCAGCAGCAGCAGCAGCAGTGGCAGACGCAGGGACGAGCGATGAGCAGAGGGGGCATCTGGAGGAAATTGTGGGGGTGAAGGTCTCGGAGAGGCAACCCACGCCCTACTACCCGGTTGCTGATAGTGACGAGGAGAATGACGATGCTGATTGCGTTGGCGCTGCAGCTGCTGCTCCTGCTGTTGCGGGTGGAAACGTTGATGGTGCTGGCAGCAATAGGCAAAGCAGCAGCAGCAGCACTGTGTGGGTACCTAGCAGCCCCTCTGCACCGCCGCTAGTCAGACGAGCCGCCAGCACCACTGTAAGTGGCAGGCACCGCAGCAGCAACAGCATCAGCAGTGGCCTCAGCAGCAGCAGCAGCAGCAGCAGCAGCAGCAGGCTTGGGTTGGGAATGGCCGGGTTTGGCCTGGTCAGTGTCAGCAGCACTGGCACTAGCAATGGTGGTGGTGGTGGTACTGGTGGTGGGTTTGGTGGTGGTAGCACTGGCAGTAGCGGTGGTGGCAGTGGTGCTGGTTTTGCAGCCTTTACTGCAGCGTCACGAGCCTTTCAACTGCGCCAGAACTCCCTGCCTGTGGGTGCTGCGAATCTGCCTAGATTCGCAGCGGCACTGGTGCTCGGAGCAGGGGCAGGAATGGAGGCAGGAGTGGGGGCAGGGGCAGGAGCAGGAGCAACGGCGGGTGGGTGGGTTACAGAAGGATTAGTGTCAGGAGGAGGGGCAGGAGGGTGGGTTACAGGAGGGGTTACAGGAGGGGTTACAGGGGGAGAAATCACTGAAGGGGGTTTCCCAGGAGGGCTAGGAGGAGGAATGGGAGGAATGGGAGGGATGGGAGGAATAGGAGGGATGGGAGGGATGGGAGGGATGGGAGGGATGGGAGGAATGGGAGGAATGGGGCGGACGGCCAGTGGAGGGGGTGTGGGTTCACCCCCCCACGTGGAACTGCTGGCGCCTTTCCCCTCCCGAGGCAAGAGCTCCCTGAGTCATGTTAGCAGTAGCACCACCACTGGCCGTGGCAGCGGCAGCGGCAGCGGCAGTGGAAGTGGAAGTGGGAGTGGGAATGAGACTGCTGGTGGTGCGACTGGCTTTGGAAGGAGAAGGGATAGCGCTGGGAGTCTGGGGGGTAGTGGGGATGTTAGTGGGGATGGCAGTGGCAGTGGCAATGGTGGTAGCAGTGGTTGTGATAATGGTGGTGGCGGGAACGCCGCCAGCAGCAGCACTCCTCGCAGCAGCTTGGTTTCATCTCAAGAAACTCAACTGTTGATGAAACGAGGCATGGTGCTCCGATCCCCCACGCCCTACTCTCTTTCTCCGGGCAATGCTGACGTGGATGATGAGCTGGCAGCTGCTGCTGCTGGCGTGGCAGGGAGTAGCCCTAGGGTAGGCACAGGAGGAATGGGAGAGGAAGGGAGAAGAAGCAGAGAGGAGGAGGAGGAAGCAGGGGAGGAGGAGGCTGCGGAGGTGTGGCTGCAGCAGCTGGGGAGGCAGGGGAAGTGTGCGAGTGCGTTCGGGGTTGGGAGCGGGAGTGGTGGAAGGGGAAGCGGAAGTATGGAAGGGGCTGGCGGTGTGGGCAGTAGCAGCTGGAAGGAGCCAGTGCGTGTGAACTACCTTCACAGCAGCTCTCTGCCTCCGCCGCCACGCCAGCAGCAGCAGCAGCAGCAGTTGGAAGGCACAGGGAAGCTTGTTAGCAGTTACAGTGGAAGCGGCAGCGGCAGCGGCTTGGGTAATGGCAGCGGCAGCGGCAGTTGTGCGTACGGCGGTGGTGCATGCAGCAGCATCAGCAGCATCAGCAGTGGCGGCAGCAGCAGCGCAGAGAGCAGTGGGAGTGGCGGCGTCTTGCACTCTGCTCAGCGTATGGTAAACAAAGGGATACTGAAACAGCAGTCGGAGCATATGGATAGGAGCAGCAACGATGGGAGCAGTCGAGCCAGTAGCTTAGAACGGCGGCAGCAGCAGCAGCAGCAGCAGCAGCAAGAGCGTAAGGTGGGAATGCATGTGCATAAATCAGACAATACACTGTTGTATGATGGAGGAACGGCAGCAGCGGCAGCAGGAGCACCAGCAGCAATGCGATCTGCAAGAGAAGATTCAATACCTGCCCTGTCTCATCACATCCCTCCTCCTCCTCCTTTGTCGTCTATTGCTCATGCCCCCTTTCCTCCTCCTGCTCCCCATGCTGCTGCTCCCCATGCTCTCACCAACGGGGAAGGGCAGAGAGCAGAGGCTTCCGAAGACGATGCTTTCTGTGACGAGCATTTCTCTCGAGCCTCCCCGCCCCGTCTTCCCACTCCCTACTACCCAGAACCATCTTCGGATGATGAGAGTCCAGGTGCAGAGGATTCTAGAGGTATGGTGATGGGTGGAGAGGAGGTATGGAGTCGGGACGGGTTGGAGATGGGTGAGGATAGTGTTGGGGGAGAGGCGGATGCAAGGGGTGCGGCGGCGGTTGCGGTGGGTCGAGGGGCACATGGGGAGTGGAGAGTAGGGGAGATGGCTTTCTCAGGGCATCTTGCAGGGGGGTATAGTTCTGCAGGAGAGAAGGTGAAACGAGGGCATTCTGCGGAGTACCCCTTAGAGCACTCTGCTGCAAGTAGCCCTTCCCAAGGGCTGATGGCGAAACAGGGCTTGTGGGAGAGGAGGCGTGTCAGGTCAGGCTCGGGATCAGGTTCGGGTTCAGGTTTGGGGTCAGGTTTGGGGTCAGGTTCAGGGTCAGGTTCAGGGACTGGTTTGGGGTCAGGTTCGGGGTCAGGTTCGGGTTCAGGTTTGGGATCAGGCTCAAGCTTAGGAGGTTTGGGGAGAGGAACAGGAGGAGAATTAGGTGCAGGAGGAGGAGGAGGAGGTGGTGGAGGAGGAGGAGGAGGAGGAGGAGGAGGAGGAGGAGGAGGAGGAGGAGGAGGAGGAGGAGGAGGAGGAGGAGGAAGAGGAGGAGGTGGAGGTGGAGGAGGAGGAGGAGGAGGAGGAGGAGGAGGAGGAGGAGGAGGAGGGGAAGGAGGTGGAAGAGGAGGAAGAGTAGGAGTAGCAGGTAGGCAGTTTGGGCACCAGAGGGTCTCCTCTTGGAGTTCCTTCCCCTCTAGCATCCCCATTGAAGGGGATAGACGTGGCGGGCAGGCAGCAGGGGGCAACGGTGGTGCAAGTGGTGCTGTGGGTGTGAGTGCTGGCAGGGGTGCAAACACAGGACTGAGCATGGGAAGCAGTAGTGCTGCTGCTGGTGCCACTGCTGGTGCTGCTCCGATGATTAATTACTTTGATTTTCCTTCTTCTCAGCAGCAGCAGCAGCAGCGACAGGGGCGGCACAGGATTTCTGCCTCAATCAGTAGCGGCTTTGGAGGGGGGGATGGCCCCATGAGCAGACGACTACTGCCTTCTATTATCTCCTCTGCTGCTGCTAATGCCTCACCTCGCTCTGCAACCAGACCGAGTTCCAGGGGCAGGGGCAGCGGCAGCGGCAGTGGCAGTGGCAGCGGCAGCGGCAGCGGCGGTGGCAGCGGCAGTGGCAGCGGCAATGGCAGCGGCAGCAGCGGCAGTCCCAATGTGAGGGATGGTGGGAATGGTGTTTACCAGGAGAGGAAGCATGGGTCATCTCTCAGGAATCCCGGGACTGGTGGTATCAGTAGAGCTAGTAGCATGGGAGGGATAGGCAGCTTGAAAAGCTGGATGCTTTTTCCTGCTGCTGCTGCTTTTGATCAACATGATGCTCCGGCAGCAGCAGTGGAAGCAGCAGCAGCAGCAGCAATAGCAGGAGGAGGAGGAGGAAAAGGAAGAGCGTACGCTTCCACTCGGCCAGCATTAGCCAGGCCAGATGTAGCACCAGGCTCACCAGGATTTGTAAGAGCAGCAGGGGCAGCAGGGCCAGCAGCAGAAGGAGTTTCCGGTTTAGCATCTATGCATTGGCAGCAGCTGAGGCAGAGCAGCTTTATTGCGGAGCTTCCGGTTGATTCCAGTCCTAGGGGATATCCACAGGGCAGAGGGGATTATGTGGCAACGCAACAGCTACTGCAGCAGCACCAGCAGCACCCGTACCAACACCAGCAGTATCGTTTCTCTCAGCAGCAGCAGCAGCAGCAGCAGCAGCAGCAGGTGCTGCATGGAGGGAAAGGAGGGGGGGTGGTGATGCCTGCTGGTCGAAACGGGTCCTCTAAGTGTCTCTCGCTTGCTGATATTCGTAACTCTGCTTCCTCCAAGGAACGGGGCCTTAGAGGTAGTGAGGGGAGTGGTTCGTCATGAATCAGGCCTGGTAGTGCTGGATTCGTAAACCTAATTAAACCCTATTGAGAAAGCTTGCTTTCTTGTCCTTATAATTTGGCATCGTTCTCATTGCAACTGGCTTATTACAACATATGCATCGTTCTTAAACACATGCTAGTACGTGCAAATATTACTAGCTATGGAGTCGTCCGTCCAAGCAGCTGTGGTCTTGTAGTTGGTCCGGGGTGGGTGGTGGGGATGTTGATTGAGCCGTTGGAAAACGAGAAACGTGGGTGGAGGGAATGAACTCCAACCCACGGTTTTTGTAGTTGGAGAAGGGCGTTTAGCGCGCTTCGACGCTGCCAAATATTCGGTACAGGCAGCTTCGCTTTCACAATACACAATTTTGAAAAACATCAATGTGTTTAAAAATTATAATATTGAGAAAGCTTGCTTTCTTGTCCTTATAATTTGGCATCGTTCTCATTGCAACTGGGGCCTCTGAGACATGGGCAGCGGTGGCTTCCGGTTGCGTAAGAGTGCCTCTGCGTGCTGTTCTAGGGGCAGTGCGTGTGTTGGGTCCTGTAGGTCGCGGGATGCCTTGATAAGATGTCCGACGTGTGGTGTGACGTACATCTCTTTGGCTGTGTCACTTTGCCACCTGCCCATCCTTTTGAAGATCCTGTCCGGCACGCCGATGTTGGCTGCTACGGTTGCCGCGCCCTTTCGGAAGGAGTGCGTGCCGAGCTGCTGCTCCCCAAGTCCAACCTTTGCGAATGCTTCTTTACACCAGTTCCGGATCGTTGTGTACGAGGGTGGCTTGGCCTGACCCTTGTTGGCTGAAGCGTGACCAAAAACGCGAATCAGCGACCCCTCTGAATGCGGGCCATAGCCAGCGAGTTGAAGGAAGCGTTGGGTGCAGCGCACGGGGCAACAGGGGTCCGTCGTTGCTGCGATGGGAATCCAAGTTCCACGACCGGCCTGGTCCGTTTTTGAGTGTGGGATGAGGATCCACATGACTTCGTCGTCGAATTGGATGTCTTGCCACTGGATGGCCACTAGGTCGGAGTATCGCAAAAATCCGGAGTACATGAGGATAGGGATCAACCCCTTTTGAAATTCAGCAGGATTGTCCGACTGCAAGTAGTTCGCGGACATGTCCCGAACTTGTTGGATTGATACGGGCTCCTTCATTCGACTAGGGCGAGGGCAGTGTCGTTTCGCGTAGTCCCGCACTTGAGTGGTAAACGGTCCGACAGTCGGGCATTTGCTTCCAGTCATGCGATGGGCGAAGCTGACTGCCGAGCACGTGAGCTGCACTACAGACAAGGTTGCTCTTCGTTGGATTGCATGTACCAAGTATAGCGCGAGGGCCATGTCGGATGCGGGAAGAAATAGGAGATCCACCTTTGTGCAGAAAGCCCGAAACTTGGCCCAGTACGGTTCGTATGTACGGATCGTTGAATTTGCTCGCGATTGTGTGAGCATGTTGATGAGTTGGTTGTGTAGCTTTGGGAGCAGATCTGGACACGAGGCGCGTACACTCTCAATTAGTCAAAAACCACCCGAAGTGCGATTATTGGGCTGTGTGGTAATCCAGTGCCTGAAAAAGCAGCGGAATGTGTTCCAGCTGCCAGACATTGGCTGCCATGTGTCAAAGGAATGTGCGCGTGGATGTACGGTGCCCAGTTGCGTAGGGAAGGTTGTAGGAGTGGCCACCAGTTTGCACCCGGCCAGTGTGGGATGATCAGTGTGAGCGACGCATGGGTGCGCTGTGCGTGATGGAGGACGGCCGGTACTAAATGGGGCGGGGGGAAAGCAAAGCTATTTTCTGATGTCCATGCGAGCGAGAATGCATCTACTGCGGTGGCTTGTGGATGAGGAATTTTTTGTGCAGAAGCGTGGCAGCTGAGAGTTGCGGGAGTTTGCAAAGAGGTCGATGGAATGGGGATCCCAACGTCGTTCTAAGATGCGGAACCACGGCGTCTTCAACGAGTAGTCGTCATGATCGACTGCTTTTGAGAGCTCATCGGCGTGTGAGTTTAGCTCGCGTGGGATCCATTCGATGATTAGACGCGTGTCGTGCTCCATGCATGTCCGAATGATGCCTTGGCAGGCCGTGGTAAGGTCGGGGCTGCGCAAGCCACCTTTGCGAAGGATGAAGAAGACGCCCTGATTGTCCACCCGCACAAGAGAATGTTTGTGCGTGATCTTGCTGGAGTATGTTTGGAGTGCCCAAAGCACTCCTTCGATCTCCCTCCGTGTGCTGGACGTCGCTCGCAGCGGCTCTGGCATTGTTGCGCTAGCTTCTTTGAGGCCGCCAGGGAATGTGGTCAAAGTGGCGCCCCAACTGTGAGCGTTAGCATCCACATGGATTACAGCATCGTAGCTGTTTCGAACGTGAAATGGTGCACCGTTGAACCTATCAAACTCCTCGAGCCAGAAGTTTAGCTCCTCGGCCGTCGCTGGCGGGAGCAAGGCATTCGAGTAGTACCATACGTGGACGACATCTTATTCCTCTGCCAGTCAAAAGCCCACGCGCAGGCCACTTGCCACCGTGTAATACTGTACCTTAAAGCAGCGGGTTTGGTGATAAATGCGAAGAAATCACAGCTGTCACCATCGCAACACCTTCGATTCTTAGGTGTGGAGCTGGACACGGCCACCGGTCGATTTACCATCGGTCCCGAACGACGAGCCTCACTACATGCAACCATTCGGAACCTGTTGAGTGCAAGCAAGGCATGTCGACCCGTCTCAGTCCGCCAAGTGGCCAGAATCACAGGCATGCTCGCGTCAATGGGCGTCGCGCTGGGCGCAACAGCTCGTGCTTTCAGCCACGCCATGCTACAAGTGATCAATGACGCACCTTCATGGAAAAGCAGCGTGATCATCCCCCCGCCCATCGAATCCAAAACCGAGAAACTTCCAGCATGAGGGATGGATGTCGATGTGATGGTACCCGGATTTGAGATCAATAGAAAACATCCAATCCCCAGCGCGTGCCACGTCTGCCATGCGACTGAGTCCTTCGTACTTGAATTTTGGAACGATGAGGTTTGCGTTGACTTTTCTCAGGTCGAGGATGAGCCTGCATTTTTCTCTTTGCTCGACCACGTTAAGTGGGCTTATGCACGTAAGCTCGCTTGCGGCTGTCTCGACTGCAGCTCCAATCTCTGTGATTTCTTGGATGGCAGTACGTGTGAACGTAGCATGCGCGTATGCACCAGCGTGGTTATGCTCCCGGAAGGCATGTGGTGGATCGTGGCTCCATGGAAGCCAGAACCATACGGACGGTTTGTCCTCATTCCATATAGGGCGTCCGATCGCACCTTTGCAAACTCTTTCCCATACTCTCTCCCGTTCCCTCCCCTCTTCGTTTTTTTTTTTTTTTTTTTTTTTTTTTTCTACCTTGCTGTAGGATTGATGCTTGGGACCATGATCATGCTCCCCTCTTGATCTCTCTCTCTCTCTCTCTCTCTCTCTCTCTCTCTCTCTCTCACTCTCTTTCTCTCTCTCTCTCTCTCTCACCCTCTCTCTCACCCTTTTTGGTTTTCCAAAGGTTGAACCAGAGCTGCCCATCCTTGCCATGCATGGTGGCGGTTTGAGTGAGGAACGTGCGTACTCTCTTTCTCGCCCCCACCCTTTTGTTTCTTGTTTTTTTTTTTTTTTTTTTTTTTTTTTTTTTTTTTAATCCTTCACAAACTAGAGGGGGCCTTAAATAAAATCCCTATCTCTCATGGTCATACATTGTCATGCCTACTAGCATGCTTCTCATCCCGTCAATTGGGGCATACGGGGGACCGAGGGGCATTCTTCCTTTTCCCC